CTTGATTTTCCTGTAGGGCCAAATGAATCTTAGCATTAGGTTTCTGAATTTGCTCATTTCTTTCCTACCATCATTAAATGGAAATGTCCAGGCCAAGCCAGAAGTCCCAGGAAAGAGGATAAGGGATACATGGACCAGAGATGAGTTACTCCAATAATTTTAATCAAGTCTACCCTAATTAGCTAATAGCCAAACCCCAGATAAGCAAACCAAGGGAAAAGCAGAAAAGTTGCCTTGCTGAACATGGTTGATGACTGAGCAATACATGCAAATTTTGCTAATGGTGTTAAGGGTCTTTATTGTGCAATATTATTGCATCAATACATATATAATGTAAAGTAAGTTATAAAGGCTAACATTTGTTAGTAATAGTTGCAAATATGGAAGTCTCTGTTGTTTGCTGTATTTCTGTCTCTCCTATTTATCTTAAGAATTTCTGCTTTGTAAGGTTATGTGCTATGGTATTTAATAGAGAGGTATCCATACCTCTTACATCATCATTATGAATTGTGGCCTTCAAGTTCAGCCTGAACAGAATGATAGTGATTTTTATAGACTTAAGATAATTTGGATGTAAAAAATTGTTTGACTTGAAAACACAAAGTATTGCTAGAAACAAAACAATGAAAAATGGATGCAAAAAAAAAAGATAACTAAGAAATACCAACCGAGGGTTGATAAAGTTCAACAGAGCAGAGTGAATGGGTGAACAAATGAATGAATGAGTGAGGGAATAAGTATTTTAAGACTTAGGCAATATTAGTTTTGTCCTTTAAGCACAATTTGAGTACTATCTAATGGATACAAGGAAGCTAAAGAAGTTTTTACCCCAATATAATTGCATTTTATATCTGTTTAATATGTAATTATGTAATGAACTTAATATTTTATTTAACTTTTATTATTATGCTTAAGAGTGAGCATTATAGCTGAAAGTCTAGAAGTCCTTTGCCTGAATGGTGATATGCATTAATTTGGGTATTTAATGTAGAAGTCAGTCTGCTGAGAAGATTTTGCAGTCTATTTAAACTTGTTTTAATTTGATTCCCAAGTCATTCTTTGTGTCTATAATGTGGAACTGCTTAATAATCTGTAGCAATAAAGCAAAGATTTGGGGACAGATTGGTGTCTGAAGTACCTCTTGAATACATACCATAAACTACCCAAAGGTTACAAATAAGTTTTGTATGAGTAAATGAGAAGGAATGATGGATGCAAATCAATTAGCGTGTATCATTCAAATTATCAGCCTAACAGCGGAAAACCCTCATTCAATAAGTGTCAAGCTGAAATAGTAGAATCAAATTGTTAACAGTCAAACCTTATTAATCAATTAAGCATCTAATTATTAGTTTGCCAACATTGTTAATAGTCAAACAAAGGGATTTATCAAAATATAATGTTAGACTGACATAATTAAATGGATTCCTGTTCAATGATAAATTACTACCTAAAATTAACTGCATAGAAGTGAGATTAGATAAATCTTGAGTGGATCTGAAATCTGCATTGAAATTCTTCAGGAATATGGGAAAGGTTGTTACTTATCAGTAAGGACAGAGAAGAGCATCCCTCACATTTGAAAGGCTGTCTTCTTGTCACAGAGAACACCCTGATCAAAGTGTTTGGAATGTGGGAGCTAAGACATCCATGGAGATTAAATTAAAAAGTGTCTAGGTGGCCTGATTACCACAAGTTTAAAATGTGTGAAGTTAAACTGGTGTAAGCCATTAGAAGAGACCAGTTAGTACCCACGATTTGGAGTTTGAATCATTGACATGACAATAAAGCTGAGGAAATTGGAGTTCCACCATCACACAGAATAGGGTAATAAATTGAGCCTTTCCCATGAGCTAAATGCAAAAAGATTTTCTCGTACACTTTTTAGACAGACTTAGATGTGAAACTTGAATGGCTTGAGGTTCCTTGCAGTCTTAAAAATACTAATAATGCAACAACAATAATAAATGTGTTCGTCTATGTTCACTGTAAGATTACTTATACAGTATGGCAGGCAGCCTGGCTCTCCTAAATTTTGCTCATGTATGAGCTTGTTTATCTTTCACAACCAGTTTATGAAATCTGAAGTATTATCATCCTATTTTACAGGTGAAAAATCCTTGGCACAGAGATTCAGTAACATGTCCAAGGTCAATTTACAAGTAGTAAATCAAGCAGCTGGGATTAAATTCCAGGTAATTTAGCATCAGAATTCACCCTCTTACAGTAGAAGTTTATGCTCTACAATTCAATATTCCAAAGTGCAACTTGGAATATTTAAACTCCCTTGTGCCAATCTGGATGCCAAGATTGGCTTACACTTGGCCTTCATGATGACTCACTTTTGATTTCATGACAACAGATTGAGAAAGGTAGAACGCTATGAATGATATACCTCAAATCAATTTCCATGACAATATAGCTAATTTCTTTTCTTCTATTTTGGGTTTTATTGCTTGTTTCTTGCTTTTTAGCTGTTTTTATGGTGGTTTACATTATTTTTCTTACCTTTTTCCATACAAGGTTCTTCACATAGTTAGTGAGTTTATGAAACATGACTTGGTCCTGTTGCAGCACAGAATTCATGTGGAGTGTTCCGAAAAGGTCAATTTTATTTCTGCTCAGAGACTGAACATATCTGTCCTCACTCCATCTTCCAAATAGTTATATAACTTTTACTAGTTCTAAGCTATAAGCAAGCATATTGTTTTCATATAGTCCTTTTCTAAACCTCAGGTTCATTTGTATAAACTCAGAGGGCATATTAGAGGATATTTAAAGATACTTTAAATTTCAATAGTCTAGGTGTTTGTAAATGCACTTCCAAATCTGCATGTAGAAATTCAGTGATAAATATTCAATAAGTACAAGAAAAGTAAAACAAGCAAACATGCTCTTTTAGTATTTTGTATTTATATGCTTTTGGTACACCAAAAAGCTTTAACAGAAGATCTGTTAATATGTTAATTTTCTTGTGTGTTCCTAGTGGATGTTAAATCTACCACAAGCTTCGGTTTCATTATTTCTTTAAATAAACAATCTCTAAATTATGAGACTGGCCTTTGCCTAGGAATGTAACAAAAATAAAATGTTTTAAAAATGTTAGAATATATAGCCTAAAGATAAAATCAATAACAACGCTGATCCATAAAAGTAAATGTGTGTACATTTATATTCAGTTAGTTGGAAAATTTGAACCTCATGTTTAGACTACATATAGTCTGATACAAATATATAATCTGATATAGATATATACCTAATATATAAACATATACACATTGTACATAATATACATACATATTGTACATAATATATACATATACATATTATATATTATGTATATGCTAGAATACTACATGGTTGTTATGGTTGAGATCCAAGATGTCCCTCCCAGACTCCTTCCTTGAAGGCTTGGTCCTCAATACAGCAATGTTCAGAGGTAGGACTTTTAGAAAATGATTGGATCATGAGCGCTCTAACCTCATTGGTGAGATATTTCATTTGATGAATTTGTCATTTTAATAGATTACAGGGAGGCAGCGGAATCCAGGTGGTAAGGCACAATTGAAAGAAGTAGGTCACTGAGGACATGTCCTAGAAGTGTATATCTTGTCCCTGGTCCTTTATCTCTTTTTCTTCTTCTCCTTCTCTCTTTTTCTGTCTTCTCTCCCTCCTTCCTCCTCCTTCCCTCTGCCCTCCTCTTCATCTCTCTCCCCACCCCTCTCTCTTGCTTCTTGGTTGCCATGATGTTCTGCCTCTCCTCAAACCCAAGGCAATGGAACCAGCCAACCATGCACTCAAACCTCTGAAACCAGGAGGCAAAATTAGTCTGTCTTCCTCTAAATTGTTTTTCTCAGGTATTTGTCACAGCAACAAAAAAAGCTGACTTAACAATGGTTTATCAACATAATGCCAAAGGGAATGAAGACAAGGAGAAAAATTGGACAATTTCATGTAATTAAGTCTACTGAAAATTGTAGTTATTTCATAATGCATATACAGGGATAGGTCAGATTTTAGTAAGCAGAAAAAGGATGCAGGATTAAGTTGCAATTTCATTTTAAAGGTCTGGAAAGAGCATTATGAACTATTGTGGCAAAGGAACTAATCACTAGGGACCATAATGATTGCTGTTTGACAATTTTAATATGTAAGGGCACCTGATTAAAATTTAAGGGGCACCTTGAGTATTATTGAAGATAAATTAACATTTATGGAGTATTTCTTGGAGTCAGACTCTGGACGGTTGCTTTGCACAGGATAACCTATTTAATCCTCATGACAACTTTGGGAGTTAGGTTTTATTAGCTAGGAAAATGTTTTGATTTTTGTGAAAAGAATATGAATTTTGGAATCAGATGGACATATATTCCAGGTTTCCAGTCACTATTTTTTGTTGATTAATTTTGACATTATTTTTCTTTTTTTTTTTTTTTTTTTTTTTTTTTACTATCTTTGGAATTCTTCATTATTTCACAAAATACAAAGCTCAGACGTGAACGTCTACATCCACCACAAAATAGAATCAAATAAGTGGTTAGCACACAAACATAATGATCTTTTTCATTTTTAAAAATATAAATAACAATGTTCAAGGTTTTGCAAGTTTCTTCTCAACGTGTGTCTTTTTAAGGCTGTCGCAGACCCTTCATCAATGGTACTTGCACCCTGCCCACCAGCACGAAAGGCCACTGTGGATACATTCCTGAGGGTGACACACTGATCTATGTCACCTCAGCCGGTTAAAACCTAAACGAGCAATCAACACCCTCCAACCAGTCCTCACAGTTTCATTAACTTTCTTTCTACTACAAAGTAACAATTGAAAGGGGGAAAGTTTCCAGCAGCATTCAAGCTCTCAAAAGATGAATCATGAAGGGCAAGAAGGAAAAACCAGGCTTCTTTCTGAATAGAACTTTCTTCCTCTTATCCAGGAAAGCCCCAATAACCCATGTAGTTTATACAGTGGTTTGTACTGAAACATTTTTTTTTTTTTCAGATTAAATAGTGTTGAGAGAAGCCGGGATCTTTTGGTGGGGTATTTTTGGAGAGGTTAATGTTGGAAAAATGCCACTGAAAGTACATCCCCCAACAGGAGTCGTTTCGCTGGTGAGGTCTGGAGGCAGAGCCAGGGCCCCAGTCTTGGGAGTGAAGTCTGAGGGCAGACTCTCCAGCAGACACTTGACCTGCTCTTGGACCAGTTTTATCTTGTCGTCCAGCTTGCGCTGCTCGATGATGAGTGTCGACTTCATTTTCACGAAGTGTTGGTAATCCTGGAGTTGCTCCTCCGAGAGGTAATTGGCCAGGATGTCCAGCACCACTAGCTCCCTGCGATCGAGGTTCTCCTTGAGCTCCCGGGCATCCTCGTGCTGCCCAGCCAGCATCTTCCTTTTCTCGTTCAGAGAGCTCCTTTCTTCATTACTAGCGTCTTCACCAAGGCCGCTAAGGACGTTCTCTACACGGGCCAGGCGCCCCGAGAGGGAGAGCAGCAGGTTCACCACCTTGTCCAGGTCCCCTATGAACATCTTGTACTTGTCAAACTCATTGGGCTTGCAGAGCTCACTGATCACAGCCTCCACCTCTTCTCCCAAGGCATTATTAAGCTTGATGTCCATGAGCAGACTCCCCTTGGCTTCCTGGAGTGTCTCCAGCTTGTGGGTGAGGCTTTCAATAAGCTCAGCCTTTTTTTCATTGACATCCATCTGCTCCTCTTCCTCAGCCACCTCCTCTGGCATATCTTTGATTTTGTTCAGAAGCTCAGCCTTGGCAGCAGACACACTGTAGTAGGCAGAGCAGTTGACCAATGTGCCCACCATTGACATTATTTTTCTTAGGTACAAAAGTCATGTGAACTGAACTGATGCTTTTCCATTTTAAACTTTAATACAGTATTTTTAGTGTGCTTTATTCAAAACATAGATTCTGCTCTTCTATGTATTACAAATGCCTCATAGTAGAAGACACACTAATGTAGTGTTGAAAAAGCTGTAGAAGAAATGTGAGGAAAACTGTAGAAAAAGGAGGGAGGGTGTTTATATATTAATTTACAATCTGTAAAGAGAGATTGTTTTTGAACTAAAATTTAGGGCATTTTGAAGCTCCTATCAAACATCCAAAGGTGAAGCATCCTGTTGGGTTGGGTCTACTGTGAAGGTAAGTATCACCCATAGTCTCCAAGTTTGCCTCCTGCTCATGGAGTCTGTTATGGGTTATCAGCATCTCCATGGCAACCCTTCTCAAAGTGAGGGCTTATTATGGCTCCTCTAAATCAACTTCCATGCTTCCACTTACTAAAGCAATTGGAGAGAGGGGTGGGAGAAAGACAATGCTGCATATTTTCACTCATTTGTGGAAACTTAAAAAAAAAAAGTGGTCTCACAGAAGAAGAATGTAATAGTGGCCAGTAGAGATTGATAAGGGCAGGGAAAAAGAGAGATGAGATGGAAAGAGGTTAGATAATAACTAATATAAATCCAGTAAGAAAAGTGGAAATTAGGTTTTGCTGTCCAGGTATTTTAAACCATGGTAAGGTAGATATGGCTTGACACTCTGTGCAACATTTCAGAATAATTAGAAGAGAAGATTCTGAAGTTCCTCAACACATAGAAATGATAAGTGTTCCAGGAGATGAAAATGCTTATTAACTGCATAGGAACAGAATACATGGTATTCATGTGTCAATTTATCATAATATATACCTTAAATATATACATATATGTCAATTTAAAAAATAGAACCAAAATAAATAACTAAAATTTTAGTAGTATATGGTTGGGCGGGTAGGTAAACAGATATGGGGCATATCAAGTGCCAGAAATGAAGTATTCCCACCAAACCGTTGCACATATTTTGACATTTATATTTTATTGGCAAAGTCAGATGACAGTGCCCAGTTTTAAGGTGACAGAGAAACATAAACTATCTGTCCAGGAAATGATCAGGAAATCAACTCTTATGGAGAAGATGTAGGCTAGACATTTCATTCCTTCTTGAACATTTGCAATTCTTTTAAGAAAATGATAGAGCTTCTAATGTACAGAAGCTTCCACCCTTTTGCTAAAGTTTGGAGCAAGAATCCAGAGCAAAAATATAAAAATTTAAGAGAAAAATTTACACAGGTTGCCCTCTGACTCATTAAGTAAATATTACAACTAACAATAAAAATTCAGCTTCTCGTTGCCTAAAATTTTAAGGAATGAGTTTCCTTTGCCCAAGGAAGTCTTTCAGGAAGTTAAAAGGTGAACTACTAACTGAGAACTGGTAACTGACAGGAAAACCTCACTGAGAATACAGCTGCCTGGATGTAGAATTTATTGCAAGGGATAAATGTGACATTTAAATTGCATTGCTCTTTTCCCCATGCATTTCTGTCAAGATACTTTCTGCCAGAAAATGGAATAATTTTAAAAGATTTTTAAATACACAATATTTCAATATAACATTATAATATGGAAGATCCTTCAATGAAATTTTAAGTGGAACAGGTTGTGTGATTATTATGATGAATGTCAAAAGTCTGCCGTATAATATTTAATACAATTCAGTGAGTGATAAGTTGGTAACATCATATTCCCTTAGAGGAAGGAAATGGGCGACCAGGAACTCCATAGGCTGATAATTTCCAATAACAGTGTATTTAAGAATAAACTAGAACAATAGATTTGAAACTCTGTGAACGTGTGCTTTACCTACAATGCAAATTTCTCCTGGGAAATAAATAAATTTAAGAGTCAAGAATATTAATACCAAAAAAGAATGTACCAAAAGTCAGAAAGAGAAAATAGAAAAAAGTTTCTATTATATTTCTAAAACTGTATTAGCTTCTAAAATGCTTAAAAAACAATATTTAATAATCAACAGATGCATTTCCATTTAACTTTCCTGTTTCTTCATTTTGAAATCACCAAGCAACCTCACAATTTTTCAAATCTATCTATCTATCTATCTATCTATCTATCTATCTATTTAATTTGCAGTACCAGGGTCTTATGCATGCTAGGTGTGTGCTCTACCACTAAGCCACATTCCCAGCCCTCAAATATTATTATTATTATTTGGGCGGTATTGGGAATTGAACTCAAAGCCTCCCACTCACAAAAATTTACAATAGTTAAAAGATATAACTATTTTATGTGTCTAGCACAACTGAGTCTCAATAGTAGATAAGTCTCAAAACACAAATGCTAGTAATTCTGATTTAGAAATTGATTATCTAAGTTTATGTTTTAAAATTTAGTATATACATATAGGTAAGGTACAAAATGGATTAGGCAATGAAAAGTTTTTTAATCTTATCTAGATGATACATTTTTAGTTATCAACACGTATGTTTTTGTGCATGTAAGTATGTGTGTCTCTTAGAGAAGAGAGCTTATTTCTCTATTTAATTTCAGAATATGTCAAGCCTACCCCTGGGTCCTTGGCTCTTTGCTCAAAGATTACTATACTATTTTGTGAAATAATTTTCCTTCTCTCTTCCTAATTCATATTGGAATAAACCAAACAATTCAATTAAAAAATTTCCCCTCTACAATAGTCATGCAAAAAACATATAGAAATTTGATCCAGGATAACTCAGAGTTCTATTTAGAGGAATGAATATGTGACTTTTTCAACAAGTGACAATTTTACTCTAGCACCTCAAAATGCATTAAATATAGTACAGGTACCATCAATTAAAGTGTCTGAAAATTAATTACAACAAGAAGCAGAATCATTCAACTAATCACAGTCAGATCTAAATAAATTAGTTCTTAATCATAGCTTTGAAAGGAGAGAAAAAGAAGGCAAAAACAAGAGAATTGAATTGCCTTCTCTTGGGCAAAGACATAATAAAGCATACAATGAGTCAAGGGTTTAACTTCAATTTTGTTGATAAGCTCATCACAAAGTTTTAATAATATTATTAATATGTAATTTCCCCCATCTGGGTTTCAATATAATTTTTCATTGTTTGATAAAGGGACTTATTGACCAAGGCTGGTGTGGAAGCTACAGCCAGATGACAGAGATCAGAAGATAATGGAGAACTAGGTGCTTTCTAGTTTCTAGCTCATTTTATTCTCAATGATGTTGGAATTAGGAGAGTCTGCCACAATTGAGTATATGAAGATTCCATCCCTCTGGATTCTTCCTTTACAGAGAGAGATAGAAAAAAGCAATCCCAATGTCTTCTCTATCTAAGAGATCAAGGACTAGAAACTTAAGAAAAAGCATTTAGAAACTGAGACTGGCATACTGGAAGTACTGTCCAAAATTTCCACAATAGTAATCTTTCTTTCTCCCTCTCTCCTCTCTCCTCTCTCCTGTCCCCTCTCCCCTCTCCCCTCCCCCCTCCTCTCTCTCTCTCTCTCCCTCCCCTTGTTACAAAGTTCAGAGCAGATTATGAGCCCTAAAATAGTGACAGAAAATATCAAGTTTCAGAGATATACTAATTGGAATGGTAAACTCCAATAAATAAACACGATTTCACGCATTCAGAGGAGAAACAAGTATCCTGGTTGAGAAGATGGCTTCTGAAAGACTTGTATTTTAATTCACTAGAGAGTGAAATATTTGATTTACAAGTTCAAACCTTCTTTCTTCAGTTGGCTATAGTCCACATCCACTGACTAGAACTTGTATTAGTCATTGGGATTCAGTTTGTCCCACAGTTCTGGTAGATTTTGCCTGTAACAACTGACATCAGGGTAGAAGAATGCCAGATGTTTGACATGTGGTACAGCTTCAGGACATGTACAGGGTGTTCTCTCAGCACACCCTGACCAAGGTGGATAGCTCAGGAAAGTGGGACATGAGTTAATGAATCCAAATTAGCCAGGCAAAGAGTGGGCCAAAGGTCAAGAATGACAAAGCAGCACAGGGAATGAATTACTGTTCTCTAAATACTTTGGAGGTACCTTCCCCTCCAATAAGGACAAAGGTAGCATCGATCTTGGATGGTTCTTAGCCTAAGGCTTGGCAGAACATGTTTGCAGGAGGCTTATGGTTCACAAGAAGAGAAGAGCAAATCTGGAAGGCCCTAGAGTAAGCCTCCTCCACATTCACTCAAAGTCACCCAGGACGCCCAGCTAAAACTGTTCTTCAAAGAAAAAGGAGAACTAACTCAAAGTCATTCAGCGTGGTTTTGAATTCTGGCCTAAAGGAATGGAGTGTAAACATTCCACTAGCCATGTGACTGGTCAAATCATTTAATCTTTCTGAACTTCAGTTTGCTAAATAAGTATTTATTAAAAATATCAAAAATATCTGTATCTCACAGGCTCTTGGAAGGATGAAATGAGATAATCTTTATAGTACCTTAATAATAGTGAATTCAGTGTAGTATAGTATTAGTAGTATGTATGTATTTTGAGCTTTTTAAGAACAAACAAGTGTTTCCATAATGTCATATAAAAGATGAGTCTTGGAGCTGGTAAGTTCCTTGAGGGCAGAAATCTGTCTGACTTTGTGTTCGCTTGTCTATGATTCACTACTTAACACAGAATTGGTAACATACTAAGTACTAGATCATCCTGTTGAACAATAAACAAACTAAGATGATTTTAACACTTAGCATCTAGAGATTAATGAAAATACCTAAATAACTTTCATTAACCAAGTTGCCTTTGTTTTATATTTTATTTATTTATTTATTTTTTGGACTGGGGGTATTGAAGATTAAATGGAGGGGGCATTTTAACTCTGAGTTACATCTTCCTTCCTTCCTTCCTTCCTTCCTTCCTTCCTTCCTTCCTTCCCTCTTTCCCTCCCTCCTTCCCTCCCTCCCTCCTTCCTTCCTTCCTTCCTTTCTTTGACAGGCTCTCACAAAATTGCT